AAAGACTTATATGAACTGATACAGAGTGAAATGAGCAGAACCAGGAGAACATGTACACAGTAACAGCCATGTTGTACAATGACTAATGTGGATAGACTTAGCTTTTCTTAGCAATTCAAGGATCCAAGACAACTCCAAAAGTCTCATGCTGAAAAATGCTATGCACATCCAGAGAAAGAATTATGGAGATTGAATGCAGATCAAAGCACACTATTTGCTCTTTTTTTTTCTGTCTTTTTTTTCTTTCTTGTGGTTCCTCGTATTGGTTCCAATTCTTCTTCAAAACATGACTAATGTGAAAATTAAAAAAAAAAATAAATAAAAGCAAATCTGATGTAAGTGACTAAAAGCCACTGGGATGTTTGGACACTTAAAATTGAGGAAACAGAATGGTGAGGGGCTTGAGAGCAAGAATACAGGGAAACCCTAGGGAGTGACAAGTAATGCATGTCTCTCAAGAAGCAAAGACCAAAGAAGCACTTGGACAGGAGAATCACAATATTTGACAGCTGATTGGATGGGGGTAGGGGGTGAGAGAGTGAAGAGTCAAGGATAACACCTGGGCTGGCAGCCTGTGGGAGGGGGAGCCCTTGGCAGGTAGAGGCAGGTTCTGAAGGAGGGAAACTTGGAGTGCTAGTTGGGAGATAATGAGCTCAGCTTTGGATACGGTTAGTGTAAGATGTCTCCAGGATATCCAGTTCAGAATGTTCAGCGGACAGTTGGAGATATTTTACTGGAGGTCAAGAGAGAGGTTAGGGCTGGATAAGTAGACCTTAGACTCACCAGATCATTGAATGCATTGGATCTGACAGAATCACCAGATGGGAAAATTGAAGCAGTGGCATAGTACTAACATCATGGGATTGTAAATCTTTAACACGAAGGGCCTCAAAGACCATCTCATCCAACATTAATTGTCCTTTTTTTAAAATTTATTTTGAATTATCAACAATCACTTCCATAAGATTTTGAGTTTTAAATCCCCCCCACTTCCCACCTCCCTCCCTAAGACAGTGCACAATCTGATATAGGCTCTACATTTATGTTCCTATTAAACATATTTTCACATTAGTCATGTTGTAAAGAAGAATTAAAACCAATAGGAGGAAACATCAGAAAGAGGAAACAAAACAAAGCAGAAGAAAAAAAAGAGCAAATAGTCTGCTTTGATGTACATTCAAACTCCATAGTTCCTTCTCTGGATAGTAATTTCCATCATGAGACTTTTGGAGATGTCTTAGATCCTTGCATTGCTGAGAAGGGCTAAGTCTAGCAAAATTAGCCATCACGCAGTGTGGCTGTTACTATGTACAATGTTCTCCTGATTCTGCTCACTTTACTCAGTGTCAGTCCATACAAGTCTTTCCAGGTTTTTCTGAAGGTTTTCCATCATTTCTTATGGAACAACAGTATTTCATTACATTCACATATCACAACTTCTTCAGCTATTCCCCAGTTGATGGGTATCCCCTCAGTTTCCAATTCTTTACCACAACATATAGAGCTGCTATAAATATTTTTATACATATGGGTCCTTTTTCCATTTTTACGATCTCTTTGGGATTCAGCCATAGGAGTGGTATTGCTGGATCAAAGGGTATGCACAGTTTTATGGTCCTTTGGGCATAGTTCCAAGTGACTCTCCAGAATGGTTGGAACAGTTCACAACTCCACCAACAATGCATTAATGTTCCAATTTTTTCACATCCTCTCCAACATTTATCATTTTCCTGTTTTGTCATAACATCAATTGTTCTTAATCTAGTCATCCAGGTGAAGGACTCAAGAATGCTATAACCAGAATTCAATAAACCCGAGTTCAAATGTTGATTCTACTGCTTATTATCTATGTGATCTTGGACAAGTCATTGTCCCTGGACTTCCATTCCTCATCTAAAAGATGAGGGCTTTTGGGGGCCCTTCCAGCTCTCTTTGTCTGATCTTATGAACCTTAGCGGTGGGAGCAGAACTGGAAGTCAAATCAGATTGCAGAAGGCAGAGAAAGGATCAAAGCCTGACAGGTGCAAAGGCTCCATTTACGCTTTAGGTTTGATTTCAGAGAACAGAACCAAACCTCATAACATTTCCGACACCAAATGGGCTGTCTTGGGAGCTGAGGTGTTCCCCTTCCTTGTAGGCTTGCCAACACAGGTTGGGTAATTTCTCGTTGGGTATTCCCAACAAGTAATGGCAGTGGAAAGTCTTTTGGTGTGATCCCTCACTGCTCAATTTCGGTGCTTCTGGGAATTTCAGACTGGGAAAAGTCCCTCAAATCTCTCTCGACTGACCTATGGCCTCTAACCTCACCACCAACGCTCTATCCACTACATTATCATTCCCTCTATACCATGATTTATTTATGTTTGAAAAGATACAGGTGATCAAATGTACATTTTCTGCTGGTGTAAACAGTCAACACTTTCAAGGAGGATGTTTGGCTACTGATTTTTGTCTTAGCTGTGGATTGTAAGGAGAAGAAAGCATTTCAGGCCCATACTTAGCTCCTCTCTTGATTTCCTTTTGTCTTTATTGTTTTATTCTTTTTTTAATCTAAAAAAAACCCTCCATTTGAAAACATACTTCTAAAATCAGGCCTAAATGTGCAAGTACAAATGTTCCCTCTTTACAAAACCTGCAGAAGATCATCATGGATGGACAGCAGGGAGTGTGTTTATCATTGAGAATCTGGCAGTGAGGAGTTAGAGTGCCTGATGGTCAAGATGCTTTGGTTATAATTCCTGGGAGGATGGATTACTCTGCTACAGCCACTGATACAGGAATAAAATAAATAAGTAATGAAATCCACTTCCTGTTTGGAGAGGTCACATTTTGTATTGGCCAAATCTACTGATTCAATTCAATTCCATGCTTCCATAAATAAACCTGGCACCTTTTTAAACACTTCACCATCTGTTTTACAGGGAGAAGTGTATTGTTGAGTACACCTCTGGGAGTCACACCAGTGGGAAAGACTACTTGTAAGGAACACAGCATTGCAGCTGGAAGCAGCCCAGGAAAATAATCTTGAGATAGCCTGAGTTCTCAAACAATTGTAACAAAACACTGACATCATCTTTCTTTCCCAGAAGAAAGGAGAGAGAGAGAGAGAGAGAGAGAGAGAGAAGAGAGAGAGAGAGAGAGAGAGAGAGGGAGAGAGGGGGGAGAGGGAGAGAGACAGGAGTAGAAAGAGAAACAGAGAGAGAAGAGAGAAGGAGGAAGGGAGGGAGGAAGGAAGGAAAGAAGGAAGAGAGGGAAGGAGGGAGGGAGGAAGGAAAGAGGGAGGAAGGAAGGAGGGAGGAAAGAAGGAAAGAAGAAAGGAAGGAAGGGAGAGAGAGAGAGGGAGGGAGAGAGGGAGAGAAGGTTGGAATAGATGATCTCTAGATTTCCTCACAACTCTGACATTCCATCATGTAAGGGCCTTTCCACTTCTGACATTCTGCTTAAAATTCCTTCCATATCTGCTGCTCTACATGCTAGAGCAGGTTCTAAGATTCCTCCCAATCATTACATCCTAAGATCTCTTTTCTGAAGATCCTTTTGGCTCTCATGTTCTATTTACTTGGAATCTCCCAACTGTGATATTCTGTATTCTAAGACGTCTCCTCATACTGAAATTTTATGAATTAAGGCCACTTTTCTTTGTGATATTTTATAATATATTTTCTGAGGTCTTTTCTGTTTATTACATTGTCTATGTTTTCTGTTCTAAGATTTCTCCCAGGTCTACCATTCTCTGTTCCATGTTCTAACACCCCTTCTAGCTCCAATCTTCTCTGTTCTGTTTCTAAGCTCTGTTCTCTGAGATCCTTCTTGGTTCTAGCATTCTATATTCTGAGGTCCACCCAAGGTTGGATATTCCATGTTTTCCATTCTAAGGTCCTTTCTCTGAGGTCCTTCCATGTTCTAGCATTCTCTATCCCAAGATCTGTCCTACCTTTGCTGTTCTACAGCCCTTCCTATCTCTGACACACTAAGTTTAGGTTGAGAGGCACACATTTGACCAATCGGCCAGCAATCCTCTGGCCATGTTCATCTACCTCTTGTTCCTGTTCCTCCACTGAATTTCATCAGCCTGGGAAGGGTGGTGTTCAGGCGAGGCATGCAGAGTGAGAGACATCCAGGGCAGCACAAGGGCCCCAGGACACATTTTTCAGCATCTCTCTTCTATGAAATCACTTTGATGGAAATGAAGAGGTGATGAGAGATCCTGCCTTGGCTAAGCAGGACTAGGGGTCCATGGGGCCTGCCACATTTCTTCTTTCCCCCTCCCTCCTTCTTTCCATCTGACTGTGACCCCAGCAGCATTAGCCATGACTCTCAATGCTTCCCTGAAGTCTCTGCCCCGTGACAGACAGGCTGCACCTGGTATCTGAGCCCCTCCCTCCTGGAACACCAGCACTGATGAATGGTCTCCTGGCTGAGATACCGCAGTGCTGAGAAGATGCTTCTGGCTCCCTGGAGAAAGACTTGAAAGCCTTTCCAGTGAAGCACCCAGAAAGAACTTGACCTTAGATCTTGGAACAGGTTACTGCCAGCCATGTGTCACCCTCTGAGATGCTCTGACCAACTACATCTCATGAAGGCTTGGTGAACAAACCCATATGGTGAAGTGTTTGTACTCAGTGTGATGGAATGCATGCCCCTGCTCTCAGAGAAGTCTCATTCCAGCAGGGAAGATGTGACATATTGGCAGCAGTGATAAGAATACGTACAATCAGGGACTGGAAAGGCCTCCTTGTAGAGATGAAGAGTGGAAGTCCAGGGAGGGGAAGGCTCCTCCAAAGCTACACAAGTAGAAACCAGCAAAACCAGATTCCAAAGAAGTGGCACTGCTGTGTTCTTTCCACTGTACCACTCTGGCCCAGACTGTGTCTTAGTGCTGGAAATGATTATCCAACAACTGACATCAGCCTCCAAATGTTTGTTTCTGTTTCCTAAGGGGAGTGCTCACTTGTCCAAGGAGCAAAGGTCTCTGTGTCTTGAGGGAAGGGCAGCAAAAGGCCTCAAGTCTCTACACTAGGAGGGTCAGTGGAAGAAACTGGGGCTATCTGGCTTGGAGAAGAGAGGCCTCCAGGTGGAACATGCAACATGAGAGCTGTCTTCATGTGTTTGCACAAGGAGGAAGAATCTGATTGGGTCTATTGGTATCTAAGGGCAGAGCCTGGAGCAGTGGAGGGTTCAGGAGGGAGTGATTACAAAATGGCCAGTGGAGGCTGAATAGGAGGAAAAGCTCCCAGACAACTGGGATTACCTCAGCTGGAATATCAGGTGAGAGTCAATTTTTTTTTTAATATTAGCAGATATTTAAAAAATGTTTTAACATTTGCAAAGTGCTTTAGGAACATTCTCAGTTGAGAATCAAAACAATCCTGTAGCAGCTATAAAATTGCCATTTTAGACATGAGGAACATTTTTTGACTAGAGTTGTAAAAATAAAACAGGATTTTAGGTCAGTGCCAATACAAAATGGGCGTGCTACTTGATGACATATCCCAAGTAGAATATTCTCACCCAAACTCATCCCTCCTCCACACTTACCACTGTCCTTAAAGTCACCCAGATTCAGAGACCTGAGAGCCCATTTTGACTTTTCCCTACTCCCAAATGTGGTCAGTCAGCCTGGTCTTGTACATACCATCTCTACAACAACTCATATCCATCCATTTTTCTCTATTCTCCTATCCAGCACTTAGCAGAAGACCTCACCACCTCTTGCCTGGACAACTACAATAACTCCAGCTGGTCTTCCCTAGCCAATACTTATTCTCCATATAACTACCCAATAAGCTAAGATCTGGGTCCTCTGGCATGGCAGTATATCCCAACATTGTCCTTTCTGATACTAGCTGTATTTTCTTATATCTCTACTCCCCCTCTATCTCCCACCCCAATACTCACTGGTTCTGGAGGTACTTGTAATGTTCTTTGTCCCCTACTACCACTTCTCAATGCCATCACTAAATAACCTGAGTGAACCTGAGGTTCACTCTAACAAGATTTATCATCCAAGATGCTGGTAACTAATATTTACTGACTGCTCATACTCTCTCCTTTTTTTTTCAGTTTAGTAGTGGTATTATTGTTCTACTTGTCTACATTCATTGTCAAAGTTAAGTTTATGTGAGATAATTTACCCCATTCTACCTCTCTCTTTCTCCTCCCAGTATAATACTCTCTCACTCCTTAATTTTATTTTGCAAGTATCACCTATTCGTCTTCAACTTACACTGTGCCCTCTATCTGTACATATATTTTTTCCATCCAACTACCCTAATACTGACAAAGGTCTCATGAGTTACAAATATCATCTTTCCATTTAGGAATGTAAACAGCTCAACCTTAATAAGTCCCTTATGACAAGTTGTGGTATATGGAATGTAATGGAATACTATTGTGCTATAAGAAATGATGAGCAGGGACTTCCACTTCTGGAAGCCAAGATGGCTGAGTGAAAAGCTAGTCGTTTTCACTCTCCCCTATCAACCTCTCAAAACCCAGAAAATATCACCCCAGAAAAAACAAAAAACAACCTGGAACACCTGAACTAGAAGAAAGACGGGGAGTAGCAGTGCAGCAGCCCAGCAAACGGGTCTCCCAGTGCCTCAGCAAAAATAAGGGAGGCAGAACTACAAGGGGCCCCAGGTGGATAAGTACCCTTTTTGGAATTCATCTGAACGGAGGTGAAGAAAACAACCTAAAGGCTTCCTAAAGCCCTGGCCTTGCTGATTCCAACCCAACACCAGGTGAGCTATCGGAGCCCTGCAGCCTCCAATTGTGAAGAAATCCTGAAGCCCAGGTGGTAGAACGGGCAAACGCCAACACCTGGACCTCTGAGTGCCTCAGTGAGGGTGGGGGGAAATGGTGGAAACCAGCTCAGAAAACCACCAGGTGCCTCAGCACTCCACTGCAAAGGAATCTCCCAGTGCATTAGCAGAAACCAGGGAGACAACACTGCAGGGGGCCCCAGGCAGATAAACACCTGCAGCACCCATCTAAAAGGAGCTGAAGAAAGCTAAAGGAAAGGAAAAGCAGGCAACCTAGAATTGCCTGAAAGTTCCAGCCTTGCTGATTCCAGCCCAACACAAGGTAAGCTGCCAGAAACCTACAGCCTCCAATTCCCAGCATAAGAGGCCCCAGCAGGCAAAGCCAGTGACCAAGACCTAGGCTCCCAACACAAGAAGCTTGGGTCAGTACCCTCTGTTCCCCAGCAGGAGAGCTCAATCTCTTTAAAGGCCAGGGAATAAAGAAACACCATGAGTAAAAAGAAACGTACCATAGATTCATATTATGAGAAGAGTGAAGATCAAGACAGAAATTCAGAAGAGGAGAACATTGTCAACAAACCCACATCTGCAACAACTAAAGGGAATATGAACTGGTCTGAAGCCCCAAAAGCCTTCTTAGAAGAGCTCAAGAAGGATTTTAATAGTCAAATGAGAGAGGTAAAGAGTCCTTCAAAAATACAATTGGCCATTGGAAAAAAAATACACTGAAGAAAACAAGTCCCTAAAAAACACAATTGGCCAATTGAGGAAGGAAGGAGAAAAACTAACAGAAGAGTTCACTGAAGCAAACAAGTCCCTAAAAAACACAATTGGCCAGATGAAGAAGGAAGTACAAACTCTTAACAGAAGAGTATGCTGCAGGAAACAAGTCCCTAAAAAACACAATTGGCCAGTTGAAGAAGGAAGTACAAAAACTAACAGAAGAAAACAATCTGTTAAAAACTAGAATTGGACAAATGGAAACTAATGTCTTTATGAGAGAGCAAGAATCAGTCAAACAGAAACAAAAAAAAATGAAAAAATCTACAAAAATGTAAAATACCTCATCAGTAAAACAACCGACCTGGAAAATCGACTCAGGAGACACAATTTAAAAATTACTAGACTACCTGAAAATCATGATGAAAAAAAGAGCCTGGACAGTATCTTTCAGGAAATCATAAAGGAAAACTGCCCAGAAGTCCTAGAACCAGAAGGGAAAATAACCATAGAAAGAATCCACCGATCACCACCTGAAAGAGATCCCAAATTGACAACCAAGAATATAATAGCAAAATTCCAAAATTACCAGATGAAAGAGAAGGTGCTGCAAGCAGCCAGAAAGAAAGAATTTAAATATCATGGAACCACAGTCAGGATTACACAGGACCTTGCAGCTTCTACATTAAAAGACCGCAGGGCATGGAACATGATATTCCTAAGGCAAAGGAGCTTGGAATGCAGCCAAGGATCAATTACCCAGCAAAAATGAGCATCATTTTTCAAGGGAGGAGGTGGATATTCAACAAAATAGGAGACTTCCAAACTTTCCTGATAAAAAGACCAGAGCTCAACAAAAAATTTGATCTTCAAGTACAGGACTCAAGAAGGACTTAAAAAGGTAAATGGGACAGAAGGATACAATATGTTGTTAATAAGGGGGGGGCTGTTTAAACCCCTACAAGGGAATATGAGACTTGCAACCCTTGAGAACTGTATTGTTATTACACCTTGTTAAAGGAGTATACATAAAGAGGGTGGATATTAGTTGACTTTGATGTAATGATAAAAAAAATCTAATCAAGTGGGTTAAATGGATCCAAATAAGTGGATCAATCTGATCTTAGAAAATGTACTGAGAAAGGAGGAGGCAGACAAGGGTAAATTACATTACAGGAAAAGACACAAAATCCTATTACAGCAGAGGGAAAGAAGGGGGGGAGCATTGTTTGAACCTTACTCTCATCAGATTTGGCTCAAGAAGGGCATAATATAATCAGTTAGGTATAGAAATCTAACTTGCCCTATAGGCAGTAGGAGGGAAAAGGGGAAAGAAAAGGGAGGGGGGAAAGAAGGGAGGGAAGAAGCAGTAAGACTAAAGGGGAAGAAAAGGGAAAGGGATAATAAAAGGGGGGGACTGAAGGAGGGTGGTCAAAAGCAAAACACTAGTGAAGGGGAGAAAGGAAAAAGGAGAAAGAAAAGCATAAATAGGGGGAAAAGGATGGAGAAAAAGACACAGATAGTAATCATAACTGTGAATGTGAATGGGATGAACTCTCCCATAAAACAGAAACAGATTGCAGAATGGATTAAAAACCATAATCCTACAATATGTTGTTTACAGGAAACACATTTGAAAAAGAGTGACACATACAGGGTAAAGGTAAAAGGCTGGAGCAGAATATATTATGTCAGCTGAAGTAAAAAAAGCAGGGGTAGCAATCCTGATCTCAGACAAAGCAAAAGCAAAAATAGATCTAATCAAAAGAGATAAGGAAGGAAACTACATCCTGCTAAAAGGCACCATAGACAATGAAGTAATATCATTACTAAACATATATGCACCAAATGGTATAGCATCCAAATTCTTACAGGAGAAGTTCAGGGAGTTACAGGAAGAAATAGACAGCAAAACTATACTAGTGGGGACCTGAACCTCCCCTCTCTGCACTAGATAAGTCTAACCACAAAATAAACAAGAAAGAAGTTAAGGAGGTGAATAGAACATTAGAAAAGTTAGGTATGATAGACCTCTGGAGAAAACTGAATGGGGATAGAAAGGAATATACTTTTTTCTCGCAGTACATGGCACATACACAAAAATTGACCATGTACTAGGGCATAAAAACCTCACAATCCAATGCAGAAAGGCAGAAATATTAAATGCATCCTTTTCAGATCATGATGCAATAAAAATTATATGTAATAAAGGGCCATGGAAAGATAGACTAAAAAATAATTGGAAACTAAATAATCTAATCCTAAAAAATGATTGGGTCAAACAACAAATCATAGAAACAATCAATAATTTCATTCAAGAGAATGACAATAATGAGACAACATACCAAAACCTATGGGATGCAGCAAAAGCAGTTCTTAGGGGAAGTTTTATATCTCTAAATGCTTACATAAATAAAATAGAAAAAGAGGAGATTAATGAATTGGGCATACAACTAAAAAAACTAGAAAAAGAACAAATTAAAAATCCTCAACTAAACACCAAATTAGAAATATTGAAAACCAAAGGAAAAATTAATAAAATTGAAATTAAGAAAACTATTGTAATAAATAAAACTAAGAGCTGGTTTTATGAAAAAACAATAAAATAGATAAGCCTTTGGTTAATTTAATTAAAAAAAGAAAGAAGAAAACCAAATTACTAGTATCAAGAATGAAAAGGGAAGCTACCACCAAGGAAGAGGAAATTAAAACAATAATTAGGAATTATTTTGCCCAACTATATGCCAACAAATTTGACAATCTTAGTGAAATGGATACATATTT